CGACAAAGGATTGGGCTTGTCGTCAGCTTTATGTCTTTATTAATAAATATTTCTTGTTATAGACCTTGAAGGCCTAATATGAACGTATAAACAAATATCTTAGACAATGCCACAACCGTATATTTGTTTGACTGTTCGAGACGTGTCGACTCCTATCTATTCACATAGAAGGATCAGGCTCAAACTTAAGTTCATTTCTTGACCTGTGCAACATCTTCATACGTCACGTGTGTACGCATACATAGCACTCATCGGGGCTAATGTGGATATTTACATTTACATAATGATAAATGTATTTGATATGATGTGCATGATATATAACATACCTATATCATAAAGCATTTGTATGATAGATGTGTTGTGTTGGCATGATTGATATGATGCGTCAGTAAGACAAGAATGGTATATTTGTAGGATGCATTCATGTAGTAATGGTATATATGCAGTGTAGTGGGTATACAAGGCATATTTGTATGTTAAGTGATATGCTCACACAGTGTGTCCACATTTGTACTACATGTATGTATAATACATTTGCATGTAAATGCAATGGCTACTGTAGCATAATGCATCTTTTAATGCTGAATGACATGCTTGAATGATATTTTCTGCTTATTATGATGCAAGTAGGCGAGCATTTTAAAATGTTGGACATTGATCAACTATGTGAATGATTGTCATTTGAGTGTGTGCAATGTTCTATTTAGAAGCCTGTAGATGTCTTTTATCTGCTTGTATGAGTGTTGTAGGTCCAGTGGAGTGGCGTTGCACTATGGTTATTTGTTGCTTATTGCATATGAGTTATTATTGAGAAATGCACAGGGCCCCACTTGGAAATCTATAAATATCTTCTATCCGCTTGTATGCATGTTGTGTATCCAGTTGCATTGTTTTAATAGTGCGCTAAGGTTATTCACATCTTTATGCAAGTAGACTAACGTGCACTAACAAATCTCCTATAATGACTCGTAGGCATTTGCATTTGTTGAAGGTCTTATGTATTTGCTATAGTCCTTTTGCGTTTTTCTTGTGGATAGCATGCTGAGTATATGACGAGCCATCTATAACCACTTGTAAGCGCTTGCCTTTTGTTGCATATCATTTGCCTGTGATTGCAGTGGATGTACCTCCCGACCATTGATTGATTATCGACTGCAAAGGGGGTTGTGGCATCTATTGCTTCCCCGTGGGTACACTACATCTTATTACAATCAACATAAAGAAAATAAAATAAAATTATGATATCTTGATGCACCTAAAAGATTCTAACTAGCCACATATCCCATCGAAAGTACAAAACATATATGTAAGATAAAAGAAGGTTTTAATCTCAAAGTTAAACTTTGCATACAAGTAGTTATATCCAAATAATTTTAAGTTTTGCAGGTACTTTGTGAGCGAGTCTTCAACTAAAATGCAACACTACAAAAGTTGTGCAAGTGCATTATGTCAATACAATGATATGTGCAAATGCACTCTGTAAGACTCGCTCAAAAAGTACGTGCAAAACTTAAAATTAACAAGTGTGGACCCAAACTTTCTAAAAATAAGAAAATAAAAAATATATAAATTATAACAATATTCAAGTGAAATCAACGATCACAAAGTTAAATAATCTATTCATCCTCCACAATTGTCTATCAAGGTGACAAGTTTGAGATTAATCTCAAGTGTATGACTATAATCATTCTCAGAAAAATCTCTCACAAGTAGGGATGCAGACAATCTCCTCTAATTAGGTGATTTTGGTGCAAAATGACACCATTAAACAAGGTTATGATAACGGCCCTCAAACCTAGTGATTTCGCCACAAAATGATATCACTATAATACGATCATAGCCATAATCGGATGTTCCCTGATGGCTCTCCCTCAAAGTAATGAATCATATGGTGCATTTGATATGGTATGAAGCAATGTTTAAAATTGAGTAATCGGGTATTGAGGCATTTTTCGTTCGTGAGGCGAGGCATAAGTCTCAAGGCATTTTGAGGCGTACATTTCGAAATCAAAAGATTGTGTAACATAAAATGATAAATTTTTAATATACTAATGAGTAAATAATACAAAACATAAAAAAACACAATATATGAAGTGAAATCAAAATATTCCAAAAATAAGACAACATGAAATAAAGTTTAACTCAAAATTCTATCTTTCCCAAATCACAGTATTCTTTTCATTAGCATATAATTTCAAAAATAAATAGCAATGACATATCACATAAGAACTCATAAGTCATAAGCGCTGTCATCACTAAGGGGGTCTTCATTTGAATCATCATTATGATGAACTACTCTCCCCCCTTCCTCCTCTCCTATAGAGTCCAATGTTTCCCAATCAGCTCCTTCCTCCTCTCCTAATTTATACACATATCTATTGAGCATATTATATTTTTTATTATACAAGCCTAAACCACATGTCCACATAAACATAAGTCTAACAAAAAGAGATCTAAATATTACATAAATAAAAAAAGTCCTATCATTTTTATTTTCTTACACTATTAATGGCAATCATTTAATCAAATGACATTGAAAATTGTATGAATAAAATGAAACAAGATTGCATAAAACATAAAAGAAAAAAGTTTCACCAAAAATGAATGAAAATCAAAAGAAGATGTCGATAAATGCGATGATATAACAAAAAAATCACATTTGAGTACAAAGAAGAAGAGGAAGTAAAGTTATTTCACTTTTGTCAATAAACCCTAAACTCCAACAACAAAGAAGAAGAGCTTTCAGCGGTCGGTCAAAGGAGACTCCAGTCCAACTCGCGGTAGAAGAGAACTCCAAGCAAGAGGCGAAGAGCAACTCTCAGTAGAAGGAAGCCGACAGCGGTCGAATGGAACGAAGAGGGGAAAATGTCGCTCGAAGAAGGGAGAAGAAACCCTCGGTTCGGAAATGAAAGAAGTCGCTCGAGGGGGGGTTCAAACCGAATAGATAAATATTAGGTTAGGGTTCTATTTTTAAAAAATATATATATTTAAAAGGTGGACGCCTCTAAAACCTGAGGCGAGGGGCGCCTCAGTAAAAACTGGCATCCGCCTCATTCCCTACACTCATTGCGTAGGCTTTATGGCTTAAAAGAACGAAATTGCGTGGAGGCGTGCCTCTTATTGCAGAATTTTAAACCATGGTAACAAGCTCTCTCTTAGTTAAAGTCAACTTCAAATTCTCCTCTTAGACAAACATCCACCCCAAGTATAAGATCCCATTAAACGACACAATCCATGACTGACAATAAAGATCCTTTGGTATGGTTGTTTTGACTACCTCCACCTAGACAAAGGTCCATGACAATCCAAGAAAACAACACTATACGGTTTTTATTGGATTCATTATCACCCACCTACCATCTTTTTTGAATAAAAGGTGGTAAATTTTGTTATCCTAAAAATCTTATTGAAGTTACTATAAGCTAAGTACTTAACATTTAACAACTAGTCATAATAAAAAATACTTTCTCATCCTCGAAATGGATAATTAACTATAAAGACTTGCACCTATAGGAATCCTGAAACCATATTAAAAAATCTTCAAAAAAAAAAAAAAGAGAAATCTTGAGGTGGTGTTTTATCTTATAATATAATCTGTCTTCTAAAAATTAAACCTAGAACCCAAAGTCTCTCATAAGAGTGGGTGCAAATTTTTTAAGCCTGCAACTTCATGTTATTGTAATAGGACACAATTAAGCTCATTTCTCCTTTGCAAACTCACCTCACTTTACCATTAGCTCAATCTCTTTTAGGCCAATGGTACTTTTGTTTATAGCTTGGTTTTCACCACTTTTTAGTGCTTTAATGCATGCTACTATGGAACTTTCCAGCCAAGATAGTGACATAATGTGAAATTATTTCAGCTTCAAACTGCTCTTGCACACAAGCAATCAACCACTGCTTCTTAGAGTTTTTCCCCAGAGCAGCCTCCAACTCACAAGTTCATTACTCAAACGATAACTTACTGCCCTCCTTCCCTGGACATGTTCGTCCAGGGAAAGGAATATGTGATATTTGCCTCTCTGATAGGAATTTTTGTTAGGGGATATTCAATCTCTTGGGGTACAAAGAATTTGAATAGAGCGAGTAGAACAAAATATAGGGTGAGGCCGTGAGGGTGGGAGGCAGGATTATAGAGAATTTGTGTGAAGTGTTTTTCTCTCTCTCTCTCTCTAACACAGGAGGGGAAAACTCTTATAAGGAGATCTCATAGTATTCAAATTAAAATCAATAACATGGGTGCCTGGAATCTCCAAGCCAAGAAGCTTTTAATAAAGGGAATGACTGAAAATAACACGCCTAGAGCCTCTTTATAAGGTGAGAGTCACGGGCTAAAAGAGATTTTACTGTTAGTTCATTTTCTTTAAAAATCTGTTGCAAAATAAATGTGTGTGGGTGGGAGATAGGGGCAAACCCTTATGAGATCATCTCACAGTTGTTAAATCAAAAATCTTAGAAATGGGGCTTGGAATCTTCAAGGAAGACGGCATTCTCAATGAAGATAATGTCTGAAAGTAAAATGCCTAAAACTCTTTTATATGTTGAAGAGTCAAGAGCTAAATGTATAGATCCTAAATGGGACTCTCTTTAGTAGCTCCATTTCTTCAAAAATCTGCTGCAAAATAAATGTGGCCAACCCTGGTGCATTTACTCTTTGTAGTGGCTTAATTTACATTGCATTGATTTTGCAACAAACCAAAAAGCCCCTTATTCACACCAAATCACCGAGCGTGGCTATTTCAGGCAAAGTCTACAACCCCAGAGAGCCCAATACTAAGCTCTAGTTTTAAGACATCTAATATGCCAAAATACTGCTTTCCAAAAGGAGTGAATAGGTGAAATATTAACTGCATAATTGCAACAGGATTTCAAATCATTCCAAACAACAGCTAACACCATACACAGCCAACAAACATTTTGTATGGGGGGGGGGCGGGGGCGGTAGGGGATAGCATTAATGACATAATAAAGAAAATTCACCACCAATATTCCATGTTCACCTTTTTAACTGCTGCGTCAATATTATTTTTCTGCTCATATCCAACTGTAAATGTTACTAGATACTTCTGCTCAAAAGGTAGATCCTGAAACAGGGATTAAGACAGTCATTAGATTAACAAGAGAAATACATCAAAATGACCAAGATATTATTCTCTAAAAAATAACAAAAAACTACTAAACCATGTGTAATAAGCAAATCATATTCAGAGATGACTTTATAAACTGTAAGGCAAATGCACAAAAGCCAAAATTGTTATTTCTGGAGCAATGTTCTTGTGGTATCTCACAATGACACAATTGTAGCTAAACACAAGAAATATTCCTATATGTATAAAATATATTGTTAAGAATCTGTAAGACAAATATTACATGCTTTCCAACACAATTTCAAGATAGATGACCAGACAGATGGCCATTTGCCCATTTCCCAATTCTAGGTAAAGCGGCATGCCATATGGGGAGTTCGCTAAAATATTACAATCTACATGAAGTATTATATATGAAATGGCCAGCCTCCTATGTGCAAGAAACTTGACCCATGCTGCATAATAAATCATAGCAAGTTTTAATTTAAGTTGTTAAATGGACAATTATATTAAAGATTAAAATACTCAAAAACAAATGGCAAAACACTTGATTGTACAATTAACACTTCTTATATTACAAAGAAATTATGGCTAAAAATTAAGATGGATTCACATCATTCAATCTCATTAAATAAACTTAAGCAAAAATTACATACATCACACAAATCATACATATTTATAAATATAAAACCTAGTAAAAACACTATTCAAATCCATGCATATGCACATGCGATGATGAAATTGTTTAAATTTTACAAAAAATAAATACAAAGGTGAGGGATTAGATATGAATTGCCATTTTTAATAGGGAATTTAAATAATAAAAGTAGGATGGTGACGGATTTGTAAAAAATTAAAATTTGAGTGTTAAACAAGAAATTATTATGAATTTAATTTTAAATTTATTTTTACTTGATGCATGATGATTTATGGTTTGGATTATTATGCAAATACTAAATCATGCAATGAAACCTAAGGATTTGCAGATCACAGATCACTAAATGAGCCGACAATTTTTTCTTTAAATGCAAACAATGAATACAAAAACAAGAACCTAAACAATAATATGATCAAATAAATTCAAAGAAATAGACTAGAAATTTAAATTGCATAAAAACAACGACCAAATATAATCTCATGACCACAAATCAAATTCGCTGTGCCAAATTTGAACAAATTCAAGAATTCCAGCAAGTCAATAAAAATTTATGTGAAAATAAGAGCAAAGGAATAAGTTACCAAAGTAAGAAATTCATGCCTCAAGATGGCACAAAGAATGAATTCCCTAAAATTAGGTTGATATTGCACTAAAAAAAATCGCAATCCAACTTGCATGCACGAGATTAAAAACTTAAAAAAAAATTATTCAACAAAAGATGCCAAATTATATGTCTCAAAATATCTATTAAATATAATCCGCATCCCCAGGTTAGTAGACATAATTAAAAGAAAATCTACTTATCTGATTACAAATAACCATCAAGTCAAACTTTAATATTATCCAAAACTAAATGAAATAAGAATTACATAAGCTGCATAAACAAGTTCTCCCATGAACATATACCTCAATTGAACAGAGAAATAAAGGAGGATGATACATAAATGTGAATAGAAATAGTTGTAGGATTCCATGAACAGAAATAGTAGCATAGGAATAACAAACTAAAATCCTAAAGCAATAATCACAATAAGGGAGTGCAAGCCAATCTCCGTGTTTTGAAAAAGAATCGACCCAAATAGATTTGAACTTTAGATGTTGCCATGATAAAAATCAAAGGTACCATTTGAATTAATCTTCAGAGTTGAACATGAAGGCATTCAACAATCAAACCATCTTGATCTTAGCCAAATCATATAAAACAACCTAACATTATGAAATAGAAAATACATCCTTTCCCATAGCCATTATAATAGGCATAACACAAAGTACTGAATTTACAAAATAACTTAAAAATAAAAAAACCAATTAAAACAAATAACTGTGTTCAAAACAATAAACACGATTTAACCAGCTTTGACAAATTCAATTATGAATTTATAAACCGATAAAAATCAAGTAAATCAGGGTATAAACTTTGTGCTTTTTGCAAACGCAATTCATGAGTCATCACAAGAAGGTATGTTTAGTTAGCGTACAAGATATCCCTGGAATCTACCATAAACAGTGGACACAATCTCAGTATCCATAATAGCGTTGAGAAAATGTTATATAAAAGTATTGAAAGAAGATTGATCATGAATTCACAAAGAGTAACAAAAGAGAAGAATCTAATAAATTAACAGCACGATTTGAAATGTGATGTAATTTCAAACTAGATTAATAATGACAATTTGACATTCCTTGAAACTTCCATTATATAAGTAATATTTCCAATGTGGTGCAAGATTTTAAATGGCTGTCTAATTTGCATTTAATTTCTTAAAGATTTCCGCAAGCAAATGTTTCTAAATTTAAAGCACATGTTATCACCAAATTTAAACAATACATACCTCATGTTCACATCAACAAAAAGCTTTTAATTGTCATACCAGTCAGTTTTTGTGAATATCCTCAAACAAGTCATTCTCATGTGCAAATGCACTAGGCCTAGACTATATGAAGGTTGACAAGATTTATAGGTTTTATAAGTTGAAATCCAATTAGTCTCACGGATTCATGCCAGAAGATCTATAGACAGATTGAATTATATGCATACCTAATCATAGGTAGTATCAATATTACACCTAAATGCATGGTCATTGATTAAACAGTGTGTATTACTCAGCTATTTATTACCAATTTGTCCATTGATTTATGAATGATAGGCAATTAAAATTTTAAATTGTGATTCTAATTTCTTTCAACGAATTTTCCGGAACAACTCATGAATTCTGCATCCAGATCAAATATAATTACTTTATGCAACCCTGTAGTTTAACCATTATATTAAAATACACTTTAGCAATGTAAGCTGCATAAGCAGGTTTATAGCATGTATGAAATTAGGAATTTTCAAAAAATGATCCAACACAGCAAAATAGAATCACATTTTCTCAATGTTCCAGGTAAACCTGATATAAAATCCATATTAGCATTCACACATGATTTTTATAGAATTAGAAAAGCTGTATATAACCCTAAGTTATTCTTCCTATCTTCAGTAAACTGACAAATCCTACATGGTGAAACAATGTGCCACATTTCTTTTAGATTAGGCAAAAAATACATATCTTCCATCATTGCAATAGTTTTATCCCTACCAAAATGTTCAATAAAACCCCAAAACGTAGTTCTAAAATTAGAGATTATCATAAAGATGAATTAGGACTAAAGAAAGAGGGCTCTTAAATAAATAATCAACTTAAGAATGTAGTTTTTTATGAAGTAAAAAATGAATTATTGTTTAGGTCTTCATATATGCAATACAATTATTACAACTGATATACTTTTCTTTTATATGATCAAAATCCAACCACTTTATCTAGCATTGTAGGTAAGATGATGGAAATATTCCAACCATCAATAAGCTTATCCACAATTATAGTATGGTTTTGAACTAAGAATATTCCTATTTTTCCTAGGTATAAGCAAATTAGTACAACAAAAAAACTCATGCTTTCCCTAATAAATACCTTCTTAAGAAATTCATCAACATGCTAATTAAATTCAGCATATTTTGTTGAATTCATCCCATAATGAGGAAAATTAGGAATAATTATCCAGAAACTAAATCAATAATATATTGTATATATCTAGGAGGCGGTAATTCTTAGTAAGTTCACCTGTAAAATCTATTTAAAATAATATCATTAGACAAAGCCACTACCTTTGCTGTTGTATTATTCAACTCAACTACTAAAAACATATATCACATCCTCTTGCCTACTCTTTCCTGAATTCTTGTTGACTTTGAATAAGTGAAAACGTTTCACTTCAATGGCAACATTAGATTCTTTTTGAAAACTTGCTCCTCAGGCTTTGTATGTTTGAAAAATGTCCTTTCTTCCATTTCTCTTATATATATGTATATATATATATATATATATATGACATCAGCAGAAGATTTCAGCACGTTTATCACTAGAGGAATCGTAGATCGACGGCTACAATTAAGAGTCTTTATTTATGATGCATTTTATGTATTATTTTTGTTTATGCTTTAGTTTTTATAGCACTGTGAGGGATTAGTTTGTGTTGTAGCCAAAAGGGCATTTTAGTCTTTGAGTCTTTTGTTGCTTTGAGGCCTATATATTAGAGCTTAACTATTGTATGAGTTTTTTTATGATTGCCTAATGAAATTTTAGCCTTCTAGTTCCTTTACGTGTTGAGAGTTCTAGTGAGAGGTGAAGCCCCTAGGTGAGGGCAGGCAACATCCACCAGTCGCAGGAAGTGTCCGAGCTCGAGCTCACTTTTCTTTCTCTAAATCCCCTCCCTCTCCCCCACTACTCGCCGACCAAAGACCCCACAACTCCCCCATAGCCGTCGGCCAAATCCCCCTGAATTCCCCATAGCTGCCGGCCAAAGCTCCACCACAACCCCTCCCCTAGCCACCGGCCCAAAGGTCGTCCTCCTCCCCCATAGCCGTCGGCCAAAACCCCGAAATCCCCCATAGCCTCCAGCCCTAAACCCTCCCCATCCTATAGCCGCCGGCCACCCTATTCACCAAGCCCTAGCTGTAAGCCACCCTATTCTCCAAGCCCCTTGTTTTCAATTCAAATTGCCTCTTTAAGACTTTCCTAATTTAGCCTATTACTAGTTGGGAAATTCTCTTAATTCAAATTCAAATAAATTTGAATTTCTAAATCTTTCCTAGTTAGTCTAAACCTATTTTGGAAGCTCCCCTAATTGCTACTAATCTGAAATTAAATTGGATTTAATTCAAAATTCCACATTCATTGCATGTAGACAAATTCATTGAATGTGGATAGAATCCTCCCCTCTCCTTTGGCCGGCCCCACTATCCCTTCTCTCTTAATTAATTTCCCCCATTAATGCTCTCAATCAAAACCCTTCCCAC